GATTATTTAGTTTATGATACACTAGAGAATCCAAATTAAAGAAATTAGATTAAATGATGCAATAACACAGAGAAAGATCTGAAAAAGGAGAACAGATACTGAAAATTCAGGAAAATGAGTTTTTTCAGACACAGTAGTCATTTGAACATAAATTGATAACCAAATAAGTAACAATAGCAATACTTGCCATAAGAGGAAAATGCTTAGTACCCAGTATTTCTATAAAAATATATATTTTCTTATTTTTATAAGTAACAAAATTAAGATATATAAAGACAAAAGAAAACATAATCCATACACAGGAAATATGACTCATTCTCGGGAAATGAAGCGAACATTAAAAAGGCATTTGAGAGACTGGAGAAATGAAATGACTTAGTGGTGAAGAGTAAGTACTACACTTGCAGATGATCCGAGTTTGGTTCCCAGCAACCACCAGGCAGCTCACAAAGCACCTATGACTACAGTTCCAGGGATCTGGTGCCCTCTTGTAGCCTACATGAGAATTGTCTTACAAACAGGCACATGCACATAGTACATGCATACAAATATAAAAAATAAAACCTCTTTTAAAACATGACAACACCTAGATTTTGGACTTTGTAAACAAAGTTGCCAAAGCACCTATTCTACATACATATAAAGGAATAAAAACTGCTTTCAGTAAAACAATTAAGTACATTTAAAATGAAAATTCTCAAGTAAGAAATAAATAGCTAAAATGAACACTTCACTAGAGGAAAACAAGAGTGCTTTCAAGTTGAAGAGTTACCCAAATTGAAGACAGATGAATACAATGTGTGAGGTATAATGAACAGAAACAAAAAGTATGAAGAAAATAAACAAAGCCGTAGAGAAAAGTAAGACATGATGAAACAATGACACATACAGCAGGTGTTCTAGGAATACATGGCATAGAGAATTAGGGAAACTATTAAAGAAAGGTTTTCTACAGATTTCATAAACTCTTGAAAATCATTGTCAAATCAAAATATACAATGAATATGAAATGGATAAACAGAAAGAACTCTGCCTATTCTATCATGGTAAGAATGTTAAGAGTCAAAATAGAGAAAATAAAAAGCAGTGGCAGGAAAGGAATTACTGATACAGACAGAGCCAAAATTTGAAGAACAATGGAACAATAGAAACCACAAATTCATAGAACCAAGTATAGTAGTCTGGGCTGACATCCATGGTCTCTTAGTGTCTGCATAATGTCTGTTCAGGACTTTCTGGCTTTCTGAGATTCCATCGAGAAGTTGAGTGTTATTCTGATGGGTCTGCCTTTATATGTTAGCATTTTCCTTTGCAACTCTCAATATTCTTTCCTTATTCTGTAGGTTTAGTGATTTGATTATTATGTGGTGAGGGAACTTTTTTTTGGTCCAATTTCTTTGGTGTTCTGTAAGCTCTTGAATCTTCATAGGTATTTCCTCCTTTAGATTGGGAAAGTTTTCTTCTATGATTTTGTTGAATATATTTTCTGTGTCCTTTAGCTGGCATTACCCTCCTTTTCCTATCCCTATTATTCTTAGGCTTGGTCTTTTCATGGTGTCACAGATTTCCTGTATGTTTTGTGTTATGACTTTTTCGGCTTTAATGTTTTCTTTGACTGAGGAACCTTTTTCCTCTATCATCTCTTCAATACCAGAGATTTTCTTCCATCTCTTGCATTCTGTTAGATATGCTTGCATCTATAGTTCTTGTTTGTTTACTCAGATGTTCTATTACCGAAATACCTTCAGTTTGAGTTTTGCCTATTGCCTCTATTTCAATTTTCACTCTTAAACTGTTTCCTTCACTTTTCTGATGACTTTTTAAAAAATTTTCTTGGCTTTCTTTAAGGGGTTTATTGATTTCTTCCAAGTTTTTGCTTGTCTTTTCCTCAATTTCTTTAAAGGAATCTTTAATTTTCTCTTTAAGGGCCTCTATTATCTTCACAAAAGTAATTATAAGGTTTTTTTCTTGCTTCTTCTATGTTGGGATGTTCAGGTCTTGCTTTTGTAGAACCACTAGAATCTGGTGGTGCCACATTGCTCTTTATGTTGTTAAATGTATTCTTGCAATAGTGTCTACCCATGCCTTCCTTCAATCGGTGCAGATGTCCAATTGGTGATCTAAATAGAGAATTCTCAACAGAAGAATAAATGGCTGAAAAACATTTAAGGCATTGCTTAATATCCTTAGTCATCAGGGAAATGCAACTCAAAATGACTCTGAGAAACCATCTTACACCTGTCAGAATGGCCAAGATCAAAAAGATTGAAAACATTTATAACAGCTTACACTGGAGAAGATGTGGATAAAGGGAACACTCCTCCACTTCTGGTGGGAGTGCAAACTTGTGCAGCCACTTTGGAAATCAGAATAGCTACTTCTCAGAGAATTGGTAATCAATATACCATAAGACTCAATAATACCACTCTTGGGCATATACCCAAAGGATGTTCAATCATACCATTGGGAAACATGATTGACTATGTTCATAGTAGCATTATTCATAATAGCCAGTACCTGAGAACAGTCTAGATGACCTTCAACCTAGGGATGGATAAAGAAATGTGGTATATTTATACAATGGAGCATTTCTGAGTTGTAAAAAACAAAGACACCCATGAAATTTGTTCGCAATGGATGGAGCTAAAAAGACCATTCTGAGTGAGGTAACTCAGACTGAGTAAAACAATCACGATATGTGTTCATTCATAAGCGGATACTAAATGTAAAGCAAAGGCTAACTATACTACAATCCACAGCTCCAGAGAAGTTAGGTAGCAAGGAGGACCCCAAGAAGGACAAACATGGATCACCCTGGGAAGAGGAAATAGATGAGATCTCCTGGGCAAACTTGGAGTGGGGGCAGTTGAGGGGAGGGGATGGGGGATGAGAACATGAGGAAAGAGATGGCTGAGTTAGGTGACAGATGGAGTGGGAGAGCAATAAAAGAGAGATCTTGATAGAGGGAGTCACTATAGGGTTATGGAGAAATCAGGTGCTAGGGAAATTCCCAGGAATCTGCAAGGATAATACCAGATAAGACTTTTTAGCAATAGTAGGGAGAGAGCCTGAACTGACCTTCCTGTGCAATGAGATTGGTGAATACCCTAACTATCATCATAGAGCCTTCATCCAATAAGTGATGAAAGTTGATGTAGAGATCTACAGTCAAGCACCAGACTGAGCTCTGGGATTTAATTGAAGAGAGGCAAGAGGGATTATAGGAGCAAGGGGTGGTCAAGATCATGATAGGAAAATCTACAGATAGCTGAACCATACTCATGGGAACTCATGAATTCTAGACTAACATTTGTGGATCCTGCATGGGACTGAACTAGGCCCTCTGAATGTGGGTGACAATTGTGTAGCTTGGTGTATTTGTGGGGGCCCTGGCAGTGGGATCAGGATCTATTTTGGTGCATGAGCTGGGTTTTAAGAGCCTATTCCCTATGGTGAGATGCCGTGCTCAGCCTTGATGCAGTGGGGAGGAGCTTGGTTTTACCTCAATTTAATGTGCCAGACTTTGTTGACTCCTCGTGGGAGACCTTATGCTTTCAGAGGAGTGGATAGGAGCTGAGTTGTGGTAGGAGGGAGAACTGTGGTTAGTATATAAAATGAATAAAGAAAAGTTATAAGAAAGTAAGGAAAAGAAAAAATCAAACAGCCATTATGAAAAATGTACTAAAATACTTAAAATAAGAAACCATATAATCCACCAACCCCTCAACAGGGTATAGTGACAAAAGAAAATTATATTACCATTCACTTTTATTGCAACCCAATCAAAATAACTTCAATGAAATGGATACAACTTAGATATTCAAGTAATTAATCTTAAAAGAAAAAAGTCCTGTAAAGGGGACAATATGGCTGGAACTAGTGGTAAAGGTGGGGGTCAATATATTAGTTATCGGTCAAATAGAAAAAAATGCATTGTCCCGTTATTATAAATAATCTAATATAATTGATTACATGGAAGTTGATAGTAGAATAGTGATAGCCAGAAGCTGACGAAAGTGTGGAGAAGAAAGAATAGAGAAAGGCTGATCAATGGGTACTACATAATCATAAAGCATAAGTAAGAATTTCTGGTGAAGTACTGCAAAGAAGAATGACTATAGATAATAATTATATACTGCATATATGAAAAGATATAAGAAAAGAAAAAAGTATTTTTGACTAGTTTCACAAAAGAAAGGTAAACATTACACAGCATGTATGGAAATATTTTCTGTTATTACATTGCTATGCAATTAATGAAATTAATGTGCAAAACAGGAAGTATTCACTTTTAGTGAACTTAAAAATACATTCACTAATAAAGACTCCATTGCTTTACAAATGTGTCTGTGGAATACTCAGCCACAAATAGTACATTTATAACATACCCCCAATTCCCAAGGGTCAGAGATCATCTTGAAAGAAGGAGCAAAAGGATTGCAAGAGTCAGAAGTTTGGGAAGACCAGAGTAAATCAATGTCTTCTGGACGCTATAAGACTTCTGTACTTGTGAATTCACAGGAGCTGTGGTTGCCTATATAAGACCTGTATAAGATCAAGCCAACCAACATTGTAGAATGAATAGAGGAACAGCTTATGAGGCTCCACCCTTTGTTAAGGATCTTTTGACAATTGATGACTTCTGTGAGACGGCAAGTCAGTTTTCTATAAGGGTGTGTTTCCTTGTAGGTCAGTGGATGGCCTCACACCAGGAGTACATGGACAGCATAAATTTGAGTCAGTGAGTTAATAAATTTTAAAAAAAGAGGGTATAGAGTTGAGAGTGTGAATGTGGCTGTGGTACTAAGGGGAGGAGTTGTCCATGAGCATGATCAGGATACATTTTACAAATTTCTCGAAGAACTAACAAAATGTTTATATAAAGAACACTAAAACTGCTAGGTAACAATGGGGAAGATAATGGCTGCCTGAGTTACGTCTCTCCGAACGCGAACTAAGAGGCTAGAGACGGGTCTCTCCCCGCCATTCGGAGGCAGGCTAGAGAGCAGGCGGCAGCAACTGGGCGGTGCTCCGATTATGGAGCCCAGCGAGTCCGCTCCTGGCCAGACTCCCGAAACAGAGTAAAGAAAACTGAAAATCCAGTTGATTGGATTTTAGTACTATGTCATAATAGATAATTCACCACTTGTTCATCAAGATGGAAAACTCAGATTCTAACGATAAAGGAAATGACCAATCTGCAGCACAGAGCAGAAGTCAAATGGCTCGATTGGATCAGGAAGAGGCTTTCTATCAATTTGTACATAACCTGAGCGAAGAAGACTATAGACTTATGAGAGACAACAATTTGCTAGGCACCCCAGGTAAGCTACATCTAAGGTTATATATGTTAGGTTGCTAGGTTTATAAGAAATAGATTGTTTTACAATATGTTTCTTTAACAAAAAATTATTAATACAAGAGATACTGAATGGCATTTACTGCCTGCCCTATTTATTGCCCGATTCCATTCTTTAATAATTGGAACAGTCATAATATAAGCTTTTAGTAAAATAGATTAAATAAAATTGAGCTGAACAATTTAGTTAGCTAGCCATGCATCCAGTTACAAACTAACTAATAGGATTTTAGTTTCTAGGACAGACTCATCTTATTTTGTCATTTTTAATTCCCTGACTGTCCCAACTGTAACCCTAAAGTTAGCTGTGGGGAAAATGACAACTACAACTTTGTCCTTAGTCATTTGATCCCAGTCAGAACTCAGTCTACGTCTTTCTTCCCAATTCTGTTTCCACCAACCTGTGGATGGGTTCGTTAGCAAGACTAGGTGGAGCATTTTGAGCAAACAATATCAGACTTTAGAATTAATCTTAACTGCAGTTTGGAACAGTTTTGCTGTTGCTTGGTGTGGTTTCTGGCAAGTCAGTTACTCAATTGAAAGTGCAGATAACAAAGCCAGAGGTGACCTGGTGGCATGTGCCTGTGATCCCAGCTACACAGGTGGCTGAGGCATGAGGTTGTTGAGTTTGAAGACAGCCTGAGTAAACCCTTTAAAATGAATCCTGAGGGTGGGAAAAAGACAGAAACTGACTTGTTGATCGATCCTCATTTGTGATTTGGCCAACATTGTTAACTTTCAGGTGAAAGCACTGCGGAGGAGTTGCTCAGAAGACTACAGCGAATTAAAGAGGGTCCGCCACCACAGAGCTCAGATGAAAATAGAGGTATATTTTGCTTTGGGAGGTGGGCAGTTGATGGAGTGATAGGAAATTCATAATAGTAAATGTCAGCCAAAGATTAGCCAGAAATGTCACAAATTAATTTGGTGATAAGTAACTGTTCATAGAAAGAGAAGTGACATTTTCTTAATGTATGACTGAGAACGTCAGCATGCTGTTTTCTGCCTCACCTTTTGGGTTGTTTGTGTTAATTGGGCCACAGTGAGAAGCAGCCTATTTAAATGAGATTTCCTCCCCTTGGCTTTCCATATCCATTGAAATTTCCAACTACTTAGTTCCTTGTTTATAAGTATGGCTTCATCAGCAAAAAGGAAACACTGCTTTGCCTGCCCTAGTGCCTTCCTACTGGGAGTAATTTTTTTCCACGTGGGGGGATTAGCAATGACCGCAGACACTGGTTGACACAGCTGATTAGGGTTTGCTCTTAGTATCTCGCAGGCAGAGGGCAGCTCTACTGCCAGCCATTGTGATGATCCACAAAATACACCACAGTTCCCAGCATTAATTGGCTCAGAGTGTCAGTGCTGCTGCTAAGTAAGCAAGCTGTCTATAAGCTCAAGACTGGTGCCTCCCTCTCCGCAGGAAACAGAGATTGACGTAACCTAGGAGCTGGTCCTGGTACATTAGTTCGTAAACACACTGCTAGGTGTGCTGTTACTCCAGGTTCAGGCTATTCATTTCGTATGGTCTTCATTTTCATGGTAGTTTAGAATCTTGATATTGACAAATATTCAAGTAGTTATAAACTGTTAGCCTTGTTTATATGTTTACTATGACTACAAAATTCTTGTATTTTAAAGCAACTTTATTTTATCAAAGGCACTTAAGCTAGGCCCCCAGATGAAGTAATAGAGACTGAATTTGGTAGAAATATAATTGGAATGAAAATACAAACACTAGCCCCCACAAGTAGCAATTGTGCCGTTTGATTTTGTTTAGACAGTATACTAGAAAAAACATGTAATCTTCTCACAGTCTCGTAACTTTTTCTAGACCAGTGCTGTTACTCATGGCGTGGTGACTTTTTTTTTTTTTTTGCTTTTCACTTAGAAATCAGTGTTGTATATAGCATAAGATCTGTAAATGTAAAATTCATTCAGAATTGCAAAATTCTCTAATGTTATTTATATGATTGTCCTAATTATTGTAGTTTCTTTCTCTCCTTTTCCCCCTTCTTTGCTTTAAACAGGTCGAGACTCTCCACAGACATCGTCTGCCAGACCATCTAGGTCAGAACGCAGTTCTGCTGAAACATTAACAGAAGTGCCATCCACCAGAGGTCGGAGGAGGGCAAGAAGCCAGAACCCAGAACACCGGAGAACCAGAGCCAGAGCTGAAAGAAGTAGGTCTCCTCTGCAACCAGCAAATGAAACTCCACGAAGATCTCAACGTAGCATCTCATCTCAAACTTTAGTAAATGAGATTGAGGGAAGTTCTACAACCCGTCACCATACGATTTTGAGACAGCAGATAACTGGACTAGGTAGAGATGCAGCTTCTGCATCGAGAAATGCCACTCAAGGGACAAGATCTTCAGACGCAAGTACCAATGGTGAAGCTGCAAGATCTGGTCAAAGACCTCCAACCATCGTCCTTCAAGTCAGAAGAATTCTTCTGAGAGAACACCCGCAGAGAGATAGCGTAGCTAGCCGAACTCGATCAAGGTCTCAGACCCCAAACAACACGGTCACTGATCAAAGTGAACGTGAAGGTTTTAGGCGCATCTTTTTACGTTCTGAACGTGCAGGTGTGAGAACCTATGTGAGTACTAACAGGGCTCCCATTCGTAGAATCTTAAATACTGGATCAAGTGACTCTGAAGCTGTTCAGATTCGAAACATATTCAGGCAGATGATGACAAGTTTTAGTGAGCTGGCGAGACTAGAAATACAGAGGGGAAGAGGGGACAATGGTGGTAACAGCTCTGGTTCCAGCTCCAGCCCTGGCTCCAGCTCCAATCGTGAAAGATCAGAAAATAGCTCAGCGAGGTCTGAAGGCAGTAATGAAGCAACCCGAATTCTCGCACCAGGTGCCAGGAGAGAGGGCCCACATAGAGCCCCAGTTATATTTGATGAGGGTGGCTCTTCGTCATTTTTTAGTCTGGATCAGTTTTTCCTCTTAAATGAGAATGACAACAGCCAACGTAGAGGACTCACCAAAGAACAGATTGATAATTTGACAGTGAGAAGTTTTGAAGAAAGTGATGCATTGAAGACATGTAGTGTTTGCTTTAGAGAATATACGACAGGCAACAAACTTCGTAAACTACCTTGCTCCCATGAGTACCACATCTACTGCATCGACCGCTGGTTATTGGAGAATTCCACCTGTCCCATTTGCCGCAGGGCCGTCTTATCTTCTGGGAACAGAGAAAGTGTTGTGTAATGAGAACAGAACTCTTGAAGCTGTGTAGCTGGAATAGTGGTGGGGAAACGAAATCACTTGCTTTGTGTCCATTTTTTTGAGCGGTGCTTAAATATAAAGTCAAAACCTAAATCGAGTCATTGCTTTTTGAGTTTCTTTTCTTTTCTCTAGTTTCTCTTTCAAGATAGAAAGAATATTTCAGAAGCGACGTTTTAAGACTTGTGTTTGATTTCAGTACCAGATAACCTGTTACTAACCTGTTACCTGTTACTGATAATTTACCCATGTACACTTGTCATTTTCCCTTTGTAACCATAAGGTCTGCCTTAGGAGGGGCTCCTTTATCATGTAGATCTTTTTTTTTTTCCAGACAGGGTTTCTCCGTAGTTTTTGGTGCCTGTCCTGGAACTAGCTCTTGTAAACCAGGCTGACCTCGAACTCACAGGGATCCGCCTGCCTCTGCCTCCTGAGAGCTGGGATTAAAGGTGTGCGCCACCACTTTTTAAGTTTCCCAGGCCATAAGAGGGGCATGAAGAAAATTCTCACTCAAGACTAAGTTCCATTATGTGTTTAGTAAGTGATTGATTAAAAGTATACCATTCCCAGTTATTGATGCAAATTCAGTCACATTCTGAATATTGTTTGTTCACCTTCCAGATTAGGTGATGATGGACATACCAGTGTAAATAACACTAAAAAGTTAGGATCTTCTAAGTGTATAACTGTTCTAAGCCCATCACTGTGGCACACAATAGAGTAAACTTAGAGTTTAATTGAGATATTTATCTTGTGGAAATATTAAAAAGCCTATGCTTGTGTAAGTGAAAAAAACACATTCATTTGTTTAAAAATGTAAAGCTATTTTGTAGAGGCTCAGTACTTTTCCAATGCACTGTTGTATTAATGCATTCAAAATTGTAAAGTACCATGCTTAGAAATGAGAACTGCTTTTTGTGAGCCAGCATAGGAAAACAAACACACCAAACAAAGTACGAAGCTGCTTTTGTAAGTGTGTGGGTGTCAAGAGCAGAACATATCTATATTTAATGTATTTGTGAACAGCTACTGTGACATGGGAAGGAAAGGACCATGTAGAATCAAACTGCACTAAAATCCAATGGAAATCATGGTTTTAACGTGGATTTAGGCAGGAAGTGATAGAGGGTAAGAACATTGCTCTGGAGAATGGAACGTTTTCATGATGGCATTGATGTAGACATGAACTGGTTTCATACAGTGACAGCCACAGCACCTTGACCCAGTATTCTACTTGAATAGATGAAGCAGAAGATCAACAAATTTGGCAGAGCTGTCTTTGGTTTTAAAAAAACAAACCACTACCACCTAGCACAAGTTAAATTGATGTTTTTACAATCTGCTCCTAAAAAACAAAAGGTGGAGGAAAGAGACTTCTAAACCAATTTTAAGGTAGGGATTTCAGTTGGTACAGATGGGTGTGTTTTTGGAAAAGTCTCAGATTTGCTTGGTTTCGAGATTTCTCAGGTAAGGTACTAGTGCACACTTGTTGATATTTCATTGCTGTATCTAGCAGATCTAACATGCCACATTAAAAAGACATATTCATAAATTATGAGATTATCTTTTATTGAAAGTGAGGCATGTCGGGTTATTTGAAATTCAAATTCTAGTTGTGTTGCCCATATTTGAAGACGAGATGTCCGGCTCACATCTGTGGACATGCACTTTATTTTTTAGTGGTAAGACTAGATTGTGATAGCCCCAGTACTCGTGCCTGGTTTTTCCTTTGAAGCTGATTGGGGTTAAGATTAGCCTGGCTGGTTCCCTGGAGAAAGCTGCCAGGCCAGAAGAGAAGCTGGATTGAACAGGCACATCCATGGTCCTTCACCAAATGAGCTAACTACCCAGATTAGTCCGGGATTCTAGAAACTGTTTTACCTAAATCTGCTTACCCTCACTGATACCACCTTAGCAGTACAGATTATTTCAAAGTTCATTCTTTCATGTTTTCCTCTGGCTTTCAGTCCTACCTAAGTGTCAAGGAAATGAAATTGTAAATATGGTAGTTGTTTACAAAGGATATGTACTGCTCTTGCAAGGAAATAATGTCCAAACAAAACTTCACTTATTTCTTTAATATAAGCAGATTTCACTGTTTATGGTGCTTATGTAATGCATTTTTATCTTTTTAAAAGAATTGTCCATGTAAAAGTCATGATTCCTTTATATTTGTGAGCCTCTTTGTTGCTTTTCTATGGTTTTCAGGTCTGCAGGGTAGTCCTGATTAACTAATAACAAATCCATTTTTCTCTTGATAAAAATGTTCCATTTTAGGAGTATTCATTTTCTATAGTTCAAAAACAGCTGCAGCCCATTCTAAACACAAGGTTACTGACAACAGATACCTCCCTGAACTCCCCAAACATATTACTCATTTGCGAAGTACTGAAGTCAGAGGTAACTCAAGCAAGATGCTGGTTATGAATGCAGATGTTGAAGCTCTTCAGAGACACTGGAAATCAATCTTCCCATTCAGTAGAATGCACATGTTTGACGTGCATGTGGACCCTTTCGAATAGCACTCCTGTCTCTTGGATTCTGTAGGATGAACACAAGTATTTTTAGTGGGAGTTGCTTTTTTATTTTACCAAGTCCATGACTATTATATATTACTAATGTTGCAGACGTTAAAGATAAGGTTGTTCATATAGGTGTCAGGTGTACAGTAAAGAGTGAAAGTCTTTTTCCTCACCAGAGTCCAAACACCTATTCCTACAAAAGACATTACATTTCATTTTGTGTCTTTGCACTTTTTCCTTATTACAGAAAGGTTCTGTCTTTAAGGCCTACTTTGAACTTCATGCAGTAATAATGTTGGGAGATTACATTGTTCAAAGCATAGGGAAAAGTACTAAAGCCTGATTTTTCTTGAATTTTTCCAATTTTTTTTAATTTGCTTAGTAGTGTGAAGGTTTGCAGTGTTTTGGTTTAATTTCAGGCAGTTTACAATGTTGAGATTTATTATTGCTGAAAACCAAGTTGAACAAGTTTTTAAAAAGGCAGACCATTTGCAGTAACACTGAAGAGAGCTGTGGTGGGAAATTGGAACATTTTCCCTGAAAAGAACATGTTAGTTACACCACTATGTTAATGGAGGTGGCATTGGGGAGAGGGAGGAGGCTCACACGCTAGTGTTGGAACAGATGATGGTTCATTTAATAAGAAAATGTGCCAGGAGATACTCAGTCTTTAGGGACATGATTATCAGAATCCATCCAAGGTAGGAATATGCTTAGCTCTGTTACCTTAAGCAATGTTTTTTTTCCTCCTGGAAAAATTTTATTTCTGTACTCAGTATTCTCTGCTTTTGTCAATGTCTTATATTTATGAAGGGTTAACATTTAGCACATTTTTTATTTAACCACCTGCTTCTATGACTTTAAGTCGGTTCTCCAAATCCTCGTGATAAAGAGGTCAATGTTGCAAATGACTGTTAAAGGCCTTTTGTAACTGTTTGCTAGAATGCAGGGGCACCTTGTAGTTGACCTTGTTTTTTAAACAGATGGAGATGTTTTTAATTCTTTTGTGAAAGGAAATCTTTTGTAATCTGCCTTAGTTGTCTTTTTAAAAATGTTTTTCCCGACTGGCTTCCCTGACACACTCTTACCAACAGTGTGCAGGACATGGAAGCCACACTTGTGGAGCACTTAGGGTCCAAGACAGTTCTAATGGCTGCTCTCCAAAGTATTCTCTCTGAACCTTTGTAACAGGCAGAGAGTGCACATGTGAGACTGTCTGCTTTTCCGCTGCAGAACAGTTCACTATGTTTATGCTCAGTAACAGTGTTGTAATTGAGTTACCTAGTAAATGGTTCTTTTCAGAAAACTGTTTTTAAATGTACCTTGCTGTATCATGCTTCACTTGGCAAGGTCTGAGGAAAGAGTATTTCTTTTTATTTATTTTTTATAACTTTATAAATAATACCATTCAAAATTTACACTTCCTCCCCTCCTCCCACTTCCCTCCTGCTCCCCCATGCACCATCCCTCCCCTCCAGTCCTAAGAGAGGGCAAGGTATCCTGCCCTGTGGGAAGTCCAAGGCCCTCCCACCTCTATCCAGGCTTAGGAAGGTATGCATTCAAACAGAATAGGATCCCAAAAAGCCAGTACATGCAGTAGAGACAAATCCCAGTGCCATTATCATTGGCTCTTCATCTGCCCCAATTGTCAGACACATTCAGAGGGTCCAGTTTGACCCACGCTCGTTCAGTCCGAGTCCAGTTAGATTTGGTGAGCTCCCACTAGCTCAGGCACACTGTCTCAGTGGGTGGACCAACTCTTTGTGGTCCTGACGTCCTTGCTTATATTCTCCCTCCTTCTGATCTTCAGCTGAACCTTGGGAGCTCAGTCCAGTGCTCCTATGGGGGTCTCTGTCTCTATCTCCATCTGTCGCCGGGCAAAGGTTCTATTGTGATATTCAAGATACTCATCAGTCTGACTATGGGACAAGACCAGTTCAGGCACCCTCTCCTCCACTGCCCAGAGTCCTAGCTGGGGACATCCATGTGGACACCTGGGAACCCCTTTAGAGTCAAGCGTCTTGCCAACCCCCAAATGGTTCCCTTAATTAAGATATCTTCTTCCCTGCTCCATATCTGCCCTTCCTCCATCTCACTCCCCTAAGCTCTCCCCAACCCTCCCCTTCTCCCTTCTCTCTCCCCCTCTTCCCTTTACCCACCCCACCCCAACCCCATGCCCCCAACTTTTGCCTGGCAATCCTGCCTGCTTGCAATTTTCAGGAGGATTTATATATGTTTATCTTTGGGTTCACCTTATATATTAGCTTCTCTAGGATGGCGAACTATAGGCTCAATGTCCTTTGTTTATGGCAAGAATCCACTGAGTGAGTGTATACCACATTCATATTTTTGGGTCTGCGTTATCTCACTCAGGATAGTGTTTTCTATTCCCATCCATTTGCATGCAAAATTCAAGATGTCATTGTTGTTTACCGCTGAGTAGTACTCTAATGTGTGTATCTTCCACAACTTCTTGATTCATTCTTCCATTGAGAGACATCTAGGTTGTTTCCAGGTTCTGGCTATTTAAAATAATGCTGCTA